TTTAGGGAAGAAACAACAAATAATGAATTAATACTGATTAAAATCATGACAGTGAATTCTGCAGCCTCACTGATAGGTGTTAAGTATCAGTCCAAAAGAACATTTTAACTTCTTTGATGCTGCTTCAGAAAGCTTCAGTTGGAGAGTACTGGGGTTTCCTCCAGCTCTGGGGTGCTAGGGGCCAAATGAGAGTTCAGATTTTACAGAAATAAGTGGTGCTCAGTGCACTGCTATGAGAGGGACTTCCTCAGACTGAAAGTAGCTACGTCAGATGGCCACTTAGCTCAGAAATCTTGGCTGGCTTCCCTTCCAAGGCCCTGATGGAGCAATAATGCAAAAATAATAAAAGTCTGGTACAAAGCTCAGTGCAAAGGCTCTAGTCCTTGGATTGGGCTGACGTACATCACACAGCCATAATAACGCCCTTTCCTGTATGAGCTGGTCATGTTAGCGGTTGAGCTGTCACAGAGACCTGGGACGTGGGCAGGTGGACAGGAAGGAGTTCTGCTATGCACTGCTGCAGAGAAGAACGTGGTACCTGAAATAGGGAAATGTGGGAGTACCTAATCCTGACTGCTGAAACCAGTGCACGTTTTGTCATTGGTCTTAATGGAGGCAGGATTTTAGCTCAGCAAAGTGTATCATTGCTCTTAACCTGTTCTGTAAGCCTTTCTCATGTTATATGCTTATGGCAAGGTATTACCTGGGATGCCTTGTTATTTCCCTTTGACTTACTTTATATTCTGCTGTGCACTCCCACCTCTTTTGAGAACAAAATGCTGCGCGAATGCCTTACGGGCTCTTTCTCTTTCACTGACCTTTTTTTATGACTTTAAAGAAGTTTCCCTAGGCCCAAGTCTGCTTTCTGTCTTGAATATTGACCTTAGAGTTACACCATCTCATTGTCGCTGCACGCAGACTTCTCAGCTATCAAAGTTCACCCACAGGACTCAAAGTATTCCTAACTCAGAAACATCTTGCCTTTTACGTCCTCCTTCTCTTCCCCCTCCTCCCTCCACATGAGCATTTTAATTTCACAAGCAAACTCCGTTTCTCTGTGAATTTTGACGAGTGGTTTACCTGTTTCATGGTAAAAATTGTACTTCAAATTTAAACGTCTTTTTCACTGTGACTGTCATAATATTTTCCATTTGAGGCTGAGACTCCACTGTGGGTTTTCTGTGCCACATTGTCATTTGTACGAATCTGAGCTTAAATGTGTGGAAATTCTGACATTTCAGAAATATAAAGTGGTTTTTTTAATGTTTTTCAAGCTAGCTGTTTCATAGGTATGGCTGCTGGGTTTTGCCCAGTGCCCTGGTCTTTCCCAGTTCAACAACAGATCGAAGATTTCTCAAGATTTTGGGCTTGTTTGCATTCACTGTCTTGTGTCATTTCTGTGAGAATGAGTGATGGTAATTTTTTATCTGATTGCTTACCCTGAAAAGGTGATAAAGGAATAATTGCCCCAAACCAAGGATTTCCAAACTGACTTTGCTTGGGTGCTGCTACCATTGGCAGCGGTGGTTACACATACAGTGCTGAATGTGGTGTCTGTGTACCATGGTCTTCAGTGAGGATCTCGGAGAAGGCAGCTTCATACCAAGCAAGCTGAGCCAAACTTTGAGTGGCTTCACAGTGGAGATGGCTCCATGGTGGAAAGAGCTGCCTTTAGTGGGACCTTGGAGAGGGTTTTAGTAGGCTATAGCACTGTTGAACTTTTTGTCTTAAAGTCAATGGCCTACAGACCAAGACTGCTCGTGCCCAGTAGTGCAAGCCACATGTTTTGGGGGCAAGTTTTGACTATGAACATTTACCTACTCTACAGTATTTGACAAAGGCTGAAATCTCTCTTGGCAGTCGTGTGGTTTCATACAGTGGTTTGTTATGTGGAACAAAGTATGCTGTTGAGGAGATCACTGGAATTGAATTCTTTAATATGCTTTTCCAGCTTTCTGTTGGGTAATATGAGATATGGAAAAATGTCCACCCACTGGCAACATTCATGTCCACAAGTGTATATATATTCTGTCATTAGTTACTTTGAGAATACGAGGGGAAATTTGCAGCTATTTCAATAACTTGACAGTTGTCACAACGACAAGGCTTCTAAAATCCAGACCGTAATTGCTACTTCGGCTAGCTGCACCTCTTATCAAACGGGTTGTGAGAATTGCTGGTGACACAAACTGCTGCTATCAGAACTGATTCTGTTGTGGTCTGACCTGATCAATTGCGCTGCAACCCAAGTCACAGCCACTTCGTGTAATTTTAGAGTATAAATCAGATTTTACACATGTGGGGCTATGATGCGATTGCATCTGTAGAGCAGGGGGGACAGAATTTGGAAATGAACCCAAGGGAGTTGTATTCGATCCTACTCAACTGGAGCTCACAAACTTCGTTCTTCGAGGTTGTGTCTGAGCAGCTTCCAGTTGTGTATTAGGCAACATGACTAACATTTGTCACATGTTGTTTATTCTCTTATCTTCTCCCCAGAGGAAGGAGAGGGTGTGCTGGAGTATTTCTTTCCTTGGGGAGTTACGTTCCTGAAATCCCATATTGCATGTAGAAATTGTGCCTTTATCATTAGCATTTATCATCTCTATGAACCTTGAAATTTGATGGAATTTGGATAGCTGACCATCATTGGAAAAGCTCAGTCTTGTTGTGTGTGAATAGTTTGTGAAATTGTTGCAATGCAGGGAGCAACCATTTGAAGAGGTGTAATACCAACTTTTTTTTTGATTGTTGAATCAATTTTTTGTACTGCAAGCTTGTAGGGGAATATGTTTCTCTGTGCTAAACGATAATATATTTAACGAATTGTAGCTACCTCTGGAATAGCTGGAAGCAATCATCCCTTTCCCTTGCATCTTAGAGTTTATCTAAGTTGCTTGATAATCTGGTGTAGCCAAACCAGGTGGGCTAATTCAGCCCTACTTCAGCTTGGTTAACTTAATCCCTTCAGTTGCATTGGATTTTTCTGATTAGACACCAAGTTAGCTTCTAATAAAGGCATCAGACTGACAGGCATTGATGCCATCTAGATGCATGATGAAGCATTGTAATGGTGATGATAAAAGTCTTTCCATCCTAGGGAGCTGCCAGTATGTTTTCCTAAAGGTGCTTCCAGAATGAGATGGCTGGTTTATGTTTAAGAGCTGAGGCTTGATCGAGATCATTCACATCAAGGGCAATTACTCTGGGAATGATAATGAGCCTCACACTCAGCCTCCACTGAGATTCCCAGTACCAATGCCAGTACGGCACAGTGTAAGCTAGTGAGCAAAATAAAATAAAGACCACAACTGTTTGGTCTAGTGAGCAAAATAAAATAAAGACCACAATACTTTCCTGAGGATAAGCCTTATCTCTAAATAAAGAGGAATAAATCCACGGTTTGGATGCTTATTAAAAGCAGCTTTTTTGAAAAACTTGGTTGTGTCACTGAACTGCACGTATAAACAAACTTTTTGAGAAAAACCAAAACTTTCTGCAAGCATGTTCATTTCACCAAATCCCTTTTTTTTTGAGACAAAAACATTTGAAACTTTTTGACCAGCTCCAATACCGGAGGCTCGGGTTTTTTCATCTTCCATCATATAGGTGATGTGGGGCAAACACTGTGGTATCTGCTAGTCCTGCAGAGGCCCCAGGGAATTACCCTGACTCTGGGTTTTTCATGTTTAGGGCTCCAGCCCCAGTGCAAAGAGCCCTCTGTCTGGCTTCTTGTTGGCTATGGGTGTCCTCCCCGCAGTGTCCCCTGCATTTTCCCATCCCAGTGGAGACGGTGCATTTTGGCTGCAATTAGTACACCTTGGATTTCATTAAGTAAATGATCGTGAAAAACTTTCAATGTTGGGACAAACCCAATAGAAACATGTATAATATCCAACAGAGGATGTTCTCAATTTCTTTGGCCAGAAACAAATTCTTACCTAAGATTTTCAAAACTCTGGAAGAAGTTTGACCTTCCCCATCCCTCAGCCAGCTCTGAAAATCACAGCTGGTGGTGTTCTACTAGGCTTGCAGTACTGACTTAATAGCTCTTTAGTTATTAGAAAATAAATGTTCATGTTCTACAAGTTTAAATTATATTAAAAACCTTTATTAGCACGTCTTGGCAAAGTACACTTCTGGCTAGCTTTCTGGCCTTGGGTTAGGCCATTCTTGTGGTTTCTTAATGACATGCTATGAAAAGGATATACTTTATGAGAATCTGGTGCCAGGTTTTGCATGTATTAAGAGGCATTTGCCATTTGTTCATAATGTTGCTGAGTGAAACAAAAAAACGTTACAAAATTGGAGTTATGTCTTGCATTCATCTGGCTTGGTTTTCATTGTACATGGCCTTTTATATTTTTTATATATATTTATATTATATATATTTTAATATTATCTGGTCTCTGTGAATTACTGGTGGCAGCTCAGTTCTGGCATGTAACAGTGCTGTTACTGCAGTTACTTTCTGTTGTCTTTTTTTTTCCCAACCTTCCCTTAGTAATTTTGGCAAAGTTGTCTCAGTGAAAGAACTCCTCTGGGCCACGTAATGGGTTTCCCCACAGTTGGGAGCAGAATTAGGCCACTGGGGCAGCCCATTTTTGTGAAGGCAACTGTTCATACCATGGGCAAAATGTCTCAGAAGTTTCTTTCCCATGAGACGTGGTGACACACAGGCAGTGCTGGAGTGTGATTCAGCTGTTTGGTTTGTTTTCCCCTCTTGTCATCTGTTTATTTGCTTTGTGACCAACAAGTCCGCCTCTTTTTCCTTCTGCTGATACTGCACGTTAGTGTGAAAAACGGATGGGTCAAAGTACCCAGCAGGTGGGAGGAGGTGTGTGCGGTGGGAAAATGGGGCTAGGAAGAAGGTCTGGGACTTGAGTAACCTTTCTTAGGTGTCTTTCCATTGCAAGAGTTGTTTGTTGCACAGGTGTGATTTTTGATAGCAAAAAGTGGGTTGCAGTGGATTTGACCTGATGCTCACGTTCTTTCCACAGTGGGGAAGCCTCACAAGTGCAACTACTGCGGCCGGAGCTACAAGCAGCGCAGTTCGCTGGAGGAGCACAAGGAACGCTGCCACAACTATCTGCAGAATGTCAGTATGGAGGCTGCCGGGCAGGTCATGAGTCACCATGGTGGGTGGAAACTGCCTTTTGAGGTCTCTTGGACTTGGAGCATCTCTTGCGGGTTTTTTTCCATCTGTTTTTCTTCCTTCCTTTCAGCTTTACATCACTTCCATCTTATAGATTGCTTATACGCAGATAGGCAGGAGGAGAAAAGGTGGGCTAAAATCATCACTCTTGTCCCATTTAACAGCACTGGTTTTGCTGATTTTTTTTTTTTTTAAGTCAGTATTTCACTTTTTAGAATGTATGAATACGCAGGCATAAAAATAAAGCAAAATCACCTGTGCAAAGTTACCCTAAAAATGAACTAAGCCATGTATAAAATGTATGATTCCCATCCCCTTCCTTTCTGATAGCAACTGATAATTATAAGGGTGGTGGAGGTATTCAGAAGTCATTATTTCTACTCCCTGTAATATTACCTTATGTCCCAAAACAAGGGGGGTAGATATAAAAATCTTCAGAGCAGAATGGAATTCAACAGTGTTGATGAAAGTAACTGTAACAAAAAAAAATGTTTATATGCATTTACATGTGTTACTATTAATGTTAACTAACACTGCATGTGTTAATATACATGAAGACTGAAGACTGCCAAAAAGATTGTCGGAAGCAAGAAATGTCAAACTCCATGAATTTGTTTTCAAAAATTGCTGTAGCTATTAGTATGGATAATGAGCGTAATATCTCAGACTGCAGGGTTGTAGACTTATCTGTAGCACTAAATACTAAATGGTAGCTGTCTAAAAATTGTTATAATTTCATTTAAAATTAGTGTTTCGGAAACTCTTCTAAAACTGAATATCTTTTAACTTTTAAAAGTTGTCTTTAGATGTTTGGTACTTGAAGTATTTAAAATTTCTTACTTATTTATTTACTTTATTACAGAAAATACAAAAATTACACATTTTCCATTCTGATTAAAAATTACCATATACCTAAGAATACCAAAAAGTTAAATTGTAGGTAAATGAAAAGGCAAAAGAATGTTTCCTCTTCTTTTTTTTTTTTTTCCCCCATTTTGCTTTTCATTGTTGAGTGGAGTCATATGGCTTCATCTGGAAATTAATTACATAAAAGTTCTGAAAGATCATTTCTCAAAACCTAAAAATACAAGCTGAAATAAAATCTATTCAGCATTTCTAATATGGGCTATTTTTCGGTGGGGAAAAAAGCACCAAAAAATTTTGAAGAGTACTTTTCCATGAATGATTTAATCCTATAAAGGCATTCTAAATGTATTTAATAGGTGTTGCCAAAATGTTCATACAGGTCTATTAAGTAATTACTATCTTTGTAGACACCCTGGAGACTAAAATCAACATTTAAAATGTAATAGATTACTTTAAAGACATTGAAGTTAATGATTATCTGCTTTAGGCCTGACTTAACGCTTGTAAAAGTTGGTGGAAAGACTGATTTCAGGGCTTTGCTATTTGCAGGTACCCATTGTGTGCTTGGTCTGCTAGATGGAGTGCTTAGTTGATAGTAGGAGTTTAACCACCGACTCCATTCCCAACAGAATACACACTTTTCACTCTACAAGGGTGTGCCTTTCTTATTAACCAGCGAGGTGATGATTTCAGTCAGCCTTTCCTTAGGGGAATAACAGTAGGCTGATACAGTTATGACAGCCAGGATGTTTCAGAGATCATGTTGTGGAGGATCTTCCCAAATTCGATTCAACTTTGAGCTTCATTATTCAGTTATTTATTAAAATTGTGTTTACTCTTGCTCATAGCGTACTTCTGAGGAAATCTAAAGCTTTTTCTAAGCTGCTTAATACTATGACAAGAAGGGTAAGTCCTTAACCTTGTCTACCCAAGGAAGCTGGAATGGTTGACCTTGCATTGATTTTTCTACCAGCTGAAGTTAAACCAGTGCAAACCCCATGTGGACAGTTCTATTATTTACAGTCTGACTGACTTTGCTTGGGCTTAAAATAGAAATGTTCACACAACCACTTTACTTTTCTCAACAAAATTAGCTTAAAACAGCACTTTGAATTCAACTAGTGCCTCTTTCTCCTCTGGGCAAATATGCCTAAATCTCCCCTGGTGAACGTTTAAGGGATGTTGATCCACTGTCTTTGTTGCGCTGTTTAGGGAGGGCATAACGAGGACAGGCAGCAACAGGGAGCTCCAAATTCAGCTGGGACCAGTAATAAATCTCACCTCGCATCCCAGCATCGCTCCCACCCGTGAAGCTCAGCATGGGAGTGAGGGTCATGAGCACCAACCTGTAGAGGTCTGCGGCAAAGTCCTTTCTCCTGGGACTATAAAGGCACCAGAGAAGAGTATACAAATGATTACTCAGCTTAAAGTTAAGTCTTAGTCTAACCCTGAAAAAAGTGTTAATTTCCTTCTCTCCCATGTCACACATGGCAAGGGTATTCCTGAGGATGAGTGAGTGCATGCTTTGGAGATTTTGATCATTGGTTTATTTTGCATCACATTGCGGTTAAGTTTTCCTGACATTCTTTCCAAATACTTTTAAAGTATTTTGTTCTTGCTGAGTGTTTTGAAGCCTCTGAATGCATTTTGGTGTGACTCCTGGTCACAACTTCACTGTTATGTGCAGAATAGATAGAGGTGGAGATTTTCTTATCCCTACCAGCATCCTGCTTTAAGGACGCAGGTGGCTGTGCTGGGTCTCAACCAATATGGCCAACGTTTAACATGGGTCTAAATTGTTTCTGCAGAGATTAATTGTTCCAGAAAACTGGAGGCAGCCCCTAGAGCATTCAGATTTTTTTCAAGCATTGTGCTCAAGTTGATCAGTTTATAGGCATGCTACAGACATCTACTTGCGTGCTTTTGCTGTGGCCTGATGAGGCCTTTAATTTCAATTATCTTTGTCTTGCAGATGGCTAGATCACCTGACTAAAGCCACAAGGGGAAGCGAGAGGAGGGGAAAGAGGGCTAGTTTTGGTGTGTGGGTAGGAATGTACAAGTCTCCAGGTGTCTCTCCATCCTCTCGCAGGGTGCCGATTGCTTGCTGAGCTGCCCCTCCTTGTGGCTAGGTCCTGTTCCCTGCTCAGCATGATGGCTGCTGCAAGAGAGCTCCCATGACTTTGTTGCTGGCAATTCTCAGCTAAGCAGTGCTGGCCCTGGAGGTAGAAATTAGTCTGTGGTCTCCTAGCTAGCAGCGTGTTGGGGGTGACAAAAGTGACAGTCTCTGAATGCCAAGAACATGATCTTTGCAGGAACGAACAGGGAGAAATGTTGAATGCTAGCTATGGTTTACACCCGGTTATGTATTCTTCTCCATCTCCACAAAGCAAAAAGTCCAGGGAAATTCTTAAAGTAGAGTGGAGAAGGGTACTCTTTTTAGGAGAAGGAGAAAGAAGCCTAGCCCTTGGTTGTGTGAGGCTTAAAGGCCAGCTCCACATAAAACACACAATGGCCTCGTGTCCTTCCCTCTTACATAGTTGCTTAAAACATTGTTAAAATGCTGGTCCCACGGGAGACTTCACACCAGGGTCCATGGGAATATTTCCTGTCATTTCTCTGCACACACACACTGTTTTTAAATAGCAATATTGTGAGCTTAGGAAAGGAAATTGAGGTTGATGGAGTAATACTAATTTATACCAGCTGAGACTTAGCCCAGTGTCTGTTGTCTGCACACAAAAGTATTTATCAGCAAAATGCACAATGAGTAATTTTTTTACTTCTTTTTTCCCCTATTCTTTCCTCACTGGAACAGCATAAACTTTTTTATTAGTATGTGTGGTTTCTTACAAATTAAGAAGCAAAAACTAAAAGATAGCCACTTTGAGCACTGTGATTGAAAGACCAATGTCTTCAGGAAAATAAAGACTTTATTCTGAAGACCATCCAGGTTTGTGTATTGAGAGTTTGCGCTTAGAAAGAGCATTTGGTGTTAACTGCAACTGAGAACATTAACAGTGTCAGAGATGGTAAACGTTTGCATGGGCAGTCCAGGAGCGCACCCTAATAGCTGATTAAGAACATCCCTGAACAGAAACAAACTCAAGCATGGGCTTTTCGTGGACTAGACACTTGATTTTTCAAATAAAACAACCTTCCTGAGCTGAGACCATAAGTTAACAGCATAAAATGAGTTGCTGTATCAAAGCTAGTTATAATGTGTTAGCTGTTCTTTGGTAGCTCCCACGGTAGGTAATGAAGTACAATGAAATACAACAAAAAAGGAATTGCATTTACTGCAGAGTAAATGTGTACACGTGGGTTTCTACCACAGAGCAGCTGATTTGTGATAACTGTTGGTTGTGTGTGATCAGTTTGCTTTTCCCCTTCTTTATTTTGTTTTTCCTCAAAAAAATGATGCAGGCTGGGCTATTTGTCCTTTATTTGTATATTTTTAAATTGAAATGAAAATTAATGTATCTAGAATTGACAATGTGATCTTTAGCTTAACTCTTTGGGTTTCTAAAATGTGACATCTCACCTGTTTGGTTCAGTTTTTCATGCAATTTAAATGGTTTCAGAAACTAGGCTATTTCCATCTCTCCCTTCTCCCAGGAAATCTACGTAACAAAACACATTCTGGTAACTTATTCCCTTCGTAACAGAAATATTGGTGTGATTCTGTGATTCTGTTGCAAGAGAGCCATGCCCTGGATTATAGAGTAGAGTTGAGTTTTGAGGTGGGAAAAAGCTTGCAGCATGAAAGATAGAAAAGAAAACACTTTTATTGGTGATGATTTTACTTTTAAAAGGAGTCTAAGCAGAATTTTTGCCTGACTTAGAGAAGACCAGATGTCTTTTTTAGCACTATTCATTTTTCATGGAAGAAAGGTTTCAAATTCTGTCTAGGAAATTTTACACACATATGCCCAACAGTAGAATTATTTAATTATTAATTAATTGTTATAAGACATACAAATGTCACTACATTTGGACCTTAATCAGATGGCTATGAAAGTAATCAGGAGGTTTTCAAGTGATTTTGTGGGCAAGTACAGTCCTACAAAGGCAGCATACCTTTAGGAAGTCTTCCTAGGAGGCCTTTAGAGCTCTCTGCATCTCCCTAGGTCCTCACCACCAGCCTCGTGTGTCCTGTATGCCAACAGCTGGAAATTCTTGAAGTGGCACTCGTGCAAACCTGGCCCATCGCAGTGAGGATGGGTATTGCCACTGAGCAGGGATCCAGGGTTTCACGCAGACCATGTGTGCATGTGCGTGCATCCGCTGATTTTTGGTAAGCCAAAAGGACAGTCAGATGCCAGTTACCAGTGAAAATCAACAGATATAATCTTTCCTTTCTTCCAAAAATCTCATCGGTAAATACTTGAGTAGAACTAGTGCAGATAGCTCCTGACCAAGCACAGTATTTAAATAACCTTAAAAATTTAGCCTTAACTGTTAAAGTATTCCAGACCTCCCAGTCTGCACTGGGCATTAATTAGGTCACTTGAACACTGCATCCCATTTTGTTGCAACATTAGATTCATTTCATATTTATGCTTTTTCTTCCTCTCTTTCACTGATGCCAGCAGGACTGCCTTGTAAATGAGAAACCATTGTGTTTCTCAGGGGGAGCATCCTGTACAAATAAAAAAGCAGCAGAGTAAATCATTTTATAGCATATGGTAGATTCTAAGCCTCAAAGTACTCGGCTTTCCATAGCAGCAAAGGCACAAATGGAATCAAATGAATAAATTGCCATGTTTTCTTATTATGAATGTCTGAATTGCGAAGTTCATCTGAACGGATACTCTGTTTTGTAATTGCCTGGTATTTGCTTTTCCTTAGTAGAAAGAAGGCAAAGACAAGGCTTTTATCACCCCATTTTTCATATATTATGTGCTAGCAAACAGCTGCATGTTTAAGAACAGGGGAGTGATTATTCCATATTAGGATCCTGAAGGTAGTAAAGTTACATGGGAGGAAAGTAGGCTGGTGGTGTTCATTTATGGCACAGTCTCAGAGAGAAGGTATCTGTGACACGAAAGGCTGCTACAATGAGAGACCAGAGGAGGACTAGCAGAAGATGTGGGTTTCAGTCCTTCTCTATGACCTCTGCAATACCACCCGTGACTTCTCTGGAAGATTTATCTAATACAGAGAGTGCAATGGGTTGATCACAATTTACAAATTGTAGGAACTCTTTGCAAGATCATCCCAGTTTCTATTTCTCTGCCATCCATTCTTCTCCTCAAATAATTTTTTACACCTCAACCATCCCATTAGTGCATGGACTAGTGGCTGATCCTTCTCAGCTTTCTCTTGCTACCTTATGAAGAAGAATGTGGGACAATTAGGCCATGTATTAAATTCATGGCAGCAGAGTAGTGGGAATTGCTACACGTGGAATCACACTTTTGACATATATTGCAAATGACTTGGACTCTGAGCCTGATCCACAGCATGGTACCACTGACCATTCTTGGTGTTTATAATAGGATGCTCAACAAAAACAGAGTACTCTGTAGGTATTTAGTGATTAGCTATGTCATCAAGTGACATAAAACCCTATGCACGTCGGTCACTACCCTGGTTGGTAGCCCATGCAATTCCTATACTGCTTTTGCTCTAGCACCTTAATTCCCTAACCCAACAAGCGATAAAGAGTGAAATGAGTAAAGACAGAAGGGGTCATTAATTTCTTGTTATTGTCTCAAAGACAGTGTGTGAGCATTCCCCTAATGTACTTAGCACAGGGATACGCCCTCCTGATCCCAAAAAGTGGGAAGACAAACACAGAAGACTTGCATTCACCGATTGTTAGGTCTGTGTTTGAAGGGATAAAATATTAATTAAAAAATTGATAGTTTCTGCGACTGATTCTGAAGGGAATTTCCATACGATGTTAATCCTGTAATTCCAGTGCAGCGTTTGTGGATTTTACAGTCTCGTGTACAGAAAGAGGAAACACACTTTAACAAACACATCCTTCATTCTGGAAGCCTTTGTCTTGGGGAACGCACAGCCAGGCCCAGGAAACAAGTCATCAATGCCTTGTATGTTTTTTAGTCAGTGAGATTAGCATGAAAAGAAAATAAGAACGGTAAGCATGCCATATGATAAGCACAAAGTTAAGGAAATACACAAAGAATGATAACTAAAAAGTTACATTGGCAACAGGTGACCATTTTGAAGGGAGAATAACAGAAAATGTCATCTACAGAGTGAGTTTTCAAAAGTTTCCCCTCCTCACTGGGGATCTTGACTATTCAGAATAAAACAAGTCCTTTAATAAATGCTTAAAGTTGGGCTTCTGCTAAATAAGATGACCCCAAACAGAGGCATGTTGTAAATGTGGCTCTGCTTAAAGGTGAATGCTATCTTGATGTCCAGTGTGTTCTTGCACCTTGCACCTTTTGTGTTGCACTTGTTGCGCAATCAGCAGGGCTCAAATGATCTGTGTTGTCTGTGAAGTGTAGACCAGACTTGTCTGATACGATTTTTTGGTTTTATGTAGTACCTCCTATGGAAGATTGTAAGGAACAAGAGCCTGTGATGGACAACAATATTTCTCTGGTGCCTTTTGAGAGACCTGCTGTTATAGAGAAGCTGACAAGCAACATGGGAAAGCGTAAAAGCTCCACCCCACAGAAGTTTGTGGGTAAGCTTGAAATACGCCTTTTATTATTTTTAGTGCATAGGAATAGGTTACTTGTTACTTGTAATAGCCAAAAGAATGAGGGGAAAAGTAGCGCTCTCAGAACTTGGTTGTGATGGGGACAGACAACAATGGAGGTGGTTAAATCACAGCAAGAAATCCTGAAAATGATTGAATTAATCTTACCAACCCAAAGAATCAAAAGTGAGGTCCCCAGAATCATGAAAATGGCTTAGAAAATCTTGAGCTTTTTACTGTGCCTTAAGGCTGTTTTGGTTTTTTTAACTTTTGCCTGTCCCTTTTGAGATTTAGACTTGTCATCCTTTTCTCTTCTTGCCCCAGCACATAAAAACTAAGACTCTCTTATAATTATCTGTCTCCATATGTGTGTGTGTGAAAAAAAAAAAAACCAACCCAAAACAACAAGTGTCTCAAGACTTGTAACTTGTATTAAATTCTTGAGAGTTGGCAACAACTGGTCTGATAATACCGGCATGAGGAAGTAAAATCACATCACTTCTGTTGGAAGAATATACAAGCTGGGGGCTGAAGGGATTGGGAGCAGCCCTGCCGAGAAGGACTTGGGGGTACTGGGGGATGAAAAGCTGGACATGAGCCAGCAATGTGCGCTCGCAGCCCAGAAGGCCAATCGTATCCTGGGCTGCATCCAAAGAAGCGTGGCCAGCAGGTCGAGGGAGGTGATTCTGCCCCTCTACTCTGCTCTGGTGAGACCCCACCGGGAGTACTGCATCCAGCTCTGGAGCCCTCAGCGTGAGAAAGACACAGGCCTGTTGGAGCGGGTCCAGAGGAGGGCCACGAAAATGCTCAGGGGGATGGAACACCTCTCCTATGAAGAAAAGCTGAGAGAGTTGGGGCTGTTCAGCCGAGAGAAGAGAAGGCTTTGGGGAGACCTTCTTGCAGCCTATCAGTACTTAAAGGGGGCTTATAAAAAAGATGGCGTCAGACTTTTGAGCAGGGCCTGTTGTGACAGGACAAGGGGGAATGGCTTTAAACTAAAGGGGGGTAGATTTAGACTAGATAGAAGGAAGACATTTTTTACGCTGAGGGTGGTGAAGCACTGGCCCAGGTTGCCCAGAGAGGGGGTGGATGCCCCATCCCTGGAAACATTCCAGGTCAGGTTGGAGGGGGCTCTGAGCAACCTGATCTAGTTGAAGGTGTCCCTGCCCACGGCAGGGGGATTGGACTAGATGACCTTTAGAGGTCCCTTCCAACCCAAACTATTCTAAGAAGTGCTTGCTCCAAGTGCAGCATTCTGCACACAATAAACTTACTAACACATGAATGTAAAACAGGATTGGATGACTTTTGGTTACCCAATTTAGAATCCTAGGCCCAGAATTCATATTTTGCTTTGTACCTTGACATCTTAAAATTGTTCAGCTTGTAACAGGACACAGTATGGGAAATTGTACTTGGTTTGAGCTGTAGCTTAAAGCTTCTTTTTACTGCTACTGAGGCAGTGCTAAACTTAGGAGGGGAGCTGGGACAGAGAATTATTTGGGGTACATGTGTACTGCTAGATTCCAAAGTCATGTAATACGTGTTTTCCACATTCGCTCCCTGGAAGGACAGTCATACAGATTTTAAGGGTGTCATATATTCATTCTGCCTACACTGAGGACACTTACGGAGAGAGGATCAGAGGACTGTAAGCAATTAACAGAGCCATTTAGAAAAGTCATTGCCTCTCAGCTAAATGCAGATTCAGATGGATTTGTTAAATCACCACTGAAGGTGGTTTTAAGCTAACCCACATGGTTTTGAATAGTAGGGGGCTAGCAGCATGCAGCAGCTCACCTGGGGGGCACTGACACACTGACCTGGCTGCTCTCGGTCATCTGACTGTTCCCAAATATCAGTGCTAAGCCAAGGTTAACTCAGGAACAATCAAACCCACAGGGGGAACGCTGGGAGGCATCAGTATTTCCTGTATTGTTATTAGTCCTTCTGAGATAAAAGCTTAATTCTTAGACTGTTGTCTTTAAGAGTGGTCTGAAATGAGTTACTGTATAGCTGATAAGAACTGAAGGATTTATACTCTCATTTAATTTACTGCTGTGACAACGGTTGGGGTTGAAGAGGGTTGAAATGGGAGCAGGACTCTCCACTGACAAGCCAAATACAGCTTTATGAGATTGTAAACATGGCTCCATCATAGCAGGTTTCCCTAGGGTTGTCTCAGCAAGTGCTGTACATTCTTGCAGGTTGTGATCAACAGTGAAATAGTTAACCATGCTGACACTTAAACTGGTGTGTCTAGACCTCAGAAACATTATAGCCTCAAAAGGAAGAAGGGCAGTTCACACCTCTCGCTTTTTTTCCCCCCAAGGTTGTCCACAGACTTGAACAGAATTGTGTTTGCAATACCTCTCAGAGGTTATTTTTGCAGGGGCTAGAGACTTTACCTGAGAGGGCTGGAGACCTTGCTCTCTTCCCTTAAATTCTGGTGTACCCTTGCCTGCCCTCAAAGCAGTATAGTTTACTGATTATAAGTATACCTCACAACTGAGGCAACCCACTTTCTGGATGGTATAAATTGAATCCATTTTTGGAAGCTGTAGATAATGGTCTCTTTTTTTAGATCAGGAAAGTTATTTTACTTGTCCACTAACATGCAATTGACCATATGTTGTTATTGTCTTCAAAGGCAAATTTACTGATTGGAAATCCTTGCCTGAGATATGCTGTAGCAGATTATTATTCTCTTCAGTAGGGTATACTACTTTGTTGTTAGATAAACCTGTTTCTTCTATAGGTGTAACAGATCATTTTGTTATTCCATTTTTCTGGGGCTAGGAATTCAGGGTTTCATGTGACATGCAG